AACCAGAAACAACTGTGCATAGTCAGCTACTAGGGTCAGGAAGCAACCAGCCTGGAGGTAAGACAGGGCCTGTGGCCAACTATATGTTTTAGCACAGGTCAGCCATTTAGAAGGCCATGAATCTTCTCTATCTTTTGCCTCCTTACTTACCATTCCCAGTTCCCTACCATATATTTAATATTAAAAATGAAAACAAGGGTCAGTGCAATGGCTCAGTGGGTAAAGACATTTGCCCTATAAGCCTGGCAACCTGAATTCAATGCCTGGAACCCACTTAGAGATGAAAGTAAAGACTTGACTCCACATATACACTGTTTTGCACACACACACAACAACAAAGTAAAGCTTAAAAATTTATTTTTATTTTTGTGAGTGTGTGTGTGTGTGTGTGTGTGTGTGTGTGTGAACACGAGTGCGCATGTGTGCACTCAAGCCCTCAGAGGTGAGGAGAAGGTATCAGATCCTCTGGAATGCAGTTGTGAACCATCAGCTGAGGAGCTAGGAACAGAAACCAAGTCCTCTGTAAGAGCAATAAGCACTCTAACACTACTGAACCATTTTACCAGCCCCAAATATGTATATTTTAAAATGAAAAACAGATGTTAACACAAAACTAGCCAAAAAAAAAAGCCTTCTTTCTACTGTAGGGGCACACCTCCCCCTACCACCAACCTCCTCTGAGGGACCTCTATGCCCTCAAGCCTCTGCGGCCTCCCGTCACACATGCTCAACTCTCTTCTGTCTGACTCCTGGGTGTAGGACCTGTGGGCTTACCCACACTTTCCTTCTACCCTGACCTGGTTGCTTTCTCACAAGGCCATAGAGATAAATGGTTAGAGCTGTATGTGCCCCCATCTATCTCTGGGTTAGGATCTCTCCAGCCTAGAAACTCTTACTTTATATTAAGGCCTTCTCTCCCTACCTCTTCCTCTCCTTCAATCTATCCATTTCCCCAGGACATAAATTCCCAATGGCATCTCCAGCAAGAATCCCTTCCAACTGGTCTGGCTTTGTCAATCCTATACTACATTTTCTATGTGAAACTTCCTAGCCTCAATGACGCCCCCCCACACACACACACACTTTCTAGATAAGGTTTCTCTGTGTAGCCCTGGAACTCACTCTGTAGACCAGGCTGGCCATGAACTCACAGAGATCCACCTGCCTCTGCCTCCCATGCCCTGCCCAGCTTCTCTTTTCCTTTTTAAGCCTCTGTTTTGTAAGATTCTTTGGTCTTTGACTCTTCGCTATCTTGCACAGCCATTCCCTTATTCTTCCACAGTCACAGTTTGGAGTCAGAGCATAGGAATGTTGTTCTAACAGATTTCCCTCTCACTTCTTTCTCTCCAGGCTTTTCTGTTCAGGACAGACAAGAAACCAGAAATGCTCTATGACACCCGTCGTCCCCTGGACAGGACCAGGTCTGTTTCTCATAATCCAATTCTGGCCATGACCTAGTTGATCACATCTACCTGGTACCTTCATACAATTTCAACAAACATGCTCTGGTGATGAACCTACTTTCTCTACCCTTGAGAGCCTCTGGCACAAGCATCTCAGGGTTAGTTCCTATGGCCACATCTGATAACCATAAATTCTGGGTACTTGGCTGCTAGCTCCAAACCTCAGCTTCCTCATCACCGCCACAAATATTTAGTCAGAAGAGCTTCCTCATCTGTGGATGACTATGAGGACTATTGCCTTAACAGACACTCCCCCCCACCCCATAGAGTGGGAGGAGGCAGTCGTCAGCTGAGCAGCCACCACAAGAACAAGTAGAGTAAAACAAGCCTGACTCCAGCACTCGGGACCACAAGTTTGAAGCCAGCCTGGAATATGTAGAGACTTGTCATAATTAAATAAATAAAGAAGGAAGAGGTAGGATTAGAGAGAAGGTTCAGAGAAACTATTCTTGCAGAGAACTAGAGTTTGGTTCCCAGCACCCACAGCGGGTGGCTCACTCAGTTCCAGGGGGTCCCGACGCCCTCTGCTGGCCTCCAGGGCACCTTCACTCCTTCACAAAGGCACCCATGCATACACTTTTAAAAAGACTGCAAATCTACAATATTCCTCCTGTTTTCCATTAGCATTAGCTTCTGTTTATAACTTCTGGCCCCTCCCACAGTCCACTGTATAAACATGTTTGACTTAAGGGATCCTATTTGATCCTGTCAAGACATATCATTTTCCTCCCATTGTCTGCTACTGCACTAGTGCGCTGAAAACTACTTTAGTGGAATCTTCAACTGATCGTTAATTGAAAAGGCACCCACAACCCTCTGTAGGGCTCCCAATCAGTATCTGTCCTCAACGCACCCCAATCTTCAGCAGTACAACAGAAGATGTGCAGTAAAAGAAAAACCAACAGCTTGAAAAGAGCAGAGGAGGGAGCAGAGGAGTCTCCAAGGAGTGCTGACGTGCTCCGTGGCTTGTTTCCCAGGGCGCAGACGGGGAGCATCTCGAAACTCGGCCTGACCCTAGGAAGCAGCCTTGGGCAGAAGTTGGCCCGGCTGTGTCCCGCCCGCTCGGTTCGCTTGGCCTGGAAGGATCTAAAATGGTCCAAAGTAGTACAACCCGGGGATTTTGCACTGACAGCGCGAACTCTCCCACTTCTCGGGGCAACCGCAGCTGAAGTTGAAGAGTCTGAGGTCACTCCAAGCGGGGCAGCCAGGCCCGCCCAGGCGCCTGTTGCAATCCCT